AGCATAGAAAGCAGGCTAAAGAAGTCTTACAGAGGCAATCTTTATCTGTAATGGGGCTGGTATTATACCTTATAAAGCATAACCATTACAACTTTAGGGGAGAGATAATGGGGAGAGAGAGAAGAGATGACCTTCACTAGGGGAGGGAGAGGAAGGCAAACCACAATGCCGATACTGTAGCTGTCTGCACATTTAACACCATGACAGATTGCAGAGGTTTCATGAAGATGGAGAACTGTCTAGACAGGGGCACAGCAAAGTTCTCAGAAGATTTGGCCATATTTTGAGACCACTTGCAAATATAGTGGAAGCAATTGCTAATGGTGAGAAGCTGTTTTAATATATAATTGGTAGATTGGTATAATCCACAGTTACCCCTATCACCTTTTTTTCTGATATATTCATGATCATTGTTAATCATCACATTTAGGAATATACTGTGTTGTGATGCACCTCATCAGTTGATCATGCATTGCTACTTTATAAATCATTTGTAAACAGAACTATTTCTGAGAATCAACTACAGGGAAAGAAAAGATGCCATACTCATTTCAATTGTCTTTAAGCCATTAGGGTCTTGCTGGATCAGAGAAGATAGGATGTTCCGATGCATTGGGAGAATAGTTTAGGAATCCCTTTCTTAGCTGTCTCCACACTCTTGCTTGCTGTAATCCAGATGAGAACAAAGTACGATGAGCTTTTTTGCTCTCTGTCGAGGAAATGACAGCTAAAACTCAACCCCAGTTGTGGCTCCCATGAACAGAACATCAGAGTAGTGCTGATGTGGTCAGGCTTTATTTTCAGCTGGAAAGTGAGAGGACTTCTTGAACAGCTACATGCCTCAATGTGCATGTTTTTAATCTTTCAGAGGCTCTGTGGTTAGCAGGTAACAAGTCCAATGTACTCTGAACAAGAATGAAGCCTGATTACCTGCTTGTTCTTGTGCTTTTTGATGCTTGTGAGGTGCAAGGATAGTCTCAGCTGGGAAGAAGAGATCAGGGGAAAAGATCTTCAGGGAGGTAGACTTTGCTGTCAGCTGAAGGATAACAGATACAGCTTGGGACCAGTACCTGCTGCATTGCTTCCCTGTTTATAACCAGTGGTTTAAGGACAGCTCTTACACTTTATGGTGGAGTTTTATAGAGCGAGGCTGTGCTTGCTTCTCTTGTCTTTGGTAGGTTTGGTCCTGCATTCAGATCACTAATGTAACTCCTGGTGAAGCATTCATTCAGGTGCACACTAGCCTCAGGTGAGGTAAAACACATTGAAGTCAGCTGTGAGAGGTGGCAGCCCCCTGCTTCTTGTTGCTGCTTTTTTTTTTCCAGCGAAGAGTTGTGCTCGACTTCTGTATTTTTGACCTAATGCCTATCTGCCAGAAGGTTCGTGGCCAAAGCCCAACAGTAAAGCTTGACTCAGATTTAGAGTACAGACCTGACCTCTGTTACCTGTGTGCCGATGCGAAAGATGTTTCCTCTGCAACCTTCAGAGATAGTGCAGTTAAAACAAAGAAGTAGCTTTGAGTTGTCCTGTTAGAGCAAAACCAAGTTCTTTAGACCGTTGCGATCTGCCTATATAAAGAATTGGTTTTGTTTACTCTTCCAAATCAGTTGTCTTGCTCTCCTGTCCAGAAACTTGGATGTGTTATTAGGGTGCCCTCTCAATATATCGAGTGATTGATATTATAGTTATTGCACTTTACATTCAAGCAATACCTTATTCCATAAGAACCTCCTCAAGTAAAATAAAGGCTTCCAGAATCACTAGTCACTACCTAAAATAGAGGTGTCTTTCACTGCTTCAGCCACACCATCTTTAAAAGGCAATTTAATGGTGCCCTGTGGTGTGTAGAGTTTACAAGGCTAATCTGTCCCCAGTCACACGACAGAGTCCTTGAAAAACCAACAAGTATCTCGTATTAAACTGAGTCCAGAATGTTTTATGGGGCAATTTAATATACTGGATTGAAAGAGGTACAGTTTTTTAGGTGACTCCAAAACGGAAAATTTAAGCAGCCGTAAACAACAACAAAAGGATTAACAGTGGGCACCAGCGTCTGTTTTCTTGGCAAGGGTTCTGCTGTTTCCATTTTATTCTGAGTTTTTTGTGGCTTTGGGAGAGGGAGAAGGCATACACCCAGAACCATGAGGAGCAGATTCTGCTGTTGGTTGGTTCTACAATCTAAGGTATTCCATTGGTTTCAGTTTACCTGAAGGACTTAATCTACGATCTTTAGCCATGTGAAAAAAATATTTGAACCTTCCTCAGATTTTTTTATGCTAGGGCACTTTGTGGCTGTTAAGCTGTTGACTTAGTTAAGATGAAAACGGAAGCAACAATACTCATTTATTGTTGACGTAGTTGTGATGTCACTGCTGGAAAGTTAAAAAGTAGCAATTTTAGATGAAATATGAAACGCCATTTTCTAATTCTGCGTATAGAACACAGCTCCTTACGAGAGGTTGTAGCCATGGCAGCAGTGGTTGCTGCACCTTGTGAATAACAACCGTGTAGTTACCTTCTCTCAGTGAAACAGAGGAGTTTAATAGTGATTTTTGTTAAGTACAAAGTTTTTTAAAAAAACAGGCTTTGTCTGTGTTTCCTGCCTTCTGTGCTATTAAAGATGACTAGAGATTAATAAAACAGTACTGGATATGGATGCAGGAAAAGAGAATTGTTTAAATCCTGCCTGTTACATCATTTAGCTATAATGCGTCCTGCTTCTTGTGTAGTGTCGCACCCTTTTACTATGCACTCAAATCCTGCCTGAATATCTGCATATGAGCATGAACTGGAAACAACAATACAATAATAAGCAAACCTGCCATTTTGGAAATTTTTAGTCCTGCAATACTTTTAAAGTCTGTAATACATTTTTAAACTTTTGTGGTTTTTATTTTTAAGCATCTGTGCTAGTGGCTTACATTTTCACTCTGCACACTCACAATTCATAGTTGTCTGAATAGAGTTCTCTCCAAGAGACTATCCCTTCTCATCTAGGGCTTGCTCATTTGAATAAAATAAGTAAGATTACACAAGGTTCACTTGCATCTGTTTATCTGAATTCGAACTAGTGTCAAAATCTTGGTGAATCAAAATATTAGATATACTTACTTGTGGAAATGGCAAATAGTAGGCTGCTATTTTTATATATCTTTTTTCTGTCTTAACTTTCAAGAAAAGCAGAACTCAACATCAAATGCTTTTGAGACTGAAACTGAGTGCCCTATATTCATGTGACTTGAATACTTGTAAAGCCACACAGAGCTATGCATAAACATTCCTTGAAACCAATCACTAGGAGATAAATTGAAAATATACGTATACACACAGAAAAACCTGAAGGGTCTAAAAGACGGAAGAAGGACCATTGAACTCGGAAACAGAGATATAGTAACAAGTTCTGAGGTTCCTACAGAGTCTGAGTTGTGTAGTCCAGAAACATCATATACTTGTGGTCGTTCTTCAGACCATTGGAAGGCATTTGGAAATTCATCAGGAGAGCGTAGTGATTAGTAAGATAATCCTTAAATGCCAGAATTACTTCTGTCTGAAACATTAATATAGTTTTGTGTCATTGTTTCAGTCTTCAGTCAATTCCAAATATGCAGAGCATTGCACAGAAAGGTTGTCTCATTTTGTGGGAGTAATTGCCACATTACAATTCGATTCGATGTGATTTGGAAAAAATCCCCTTATTTTTCAGTTCTTTATGAAAGAAAAACCTGAGGTTTTTCAGTCCACATTGATCTATAGGCTGTGGCAAATTGTGGTGCTTGGATGCTTTTGTCCTCCGCTTTATGGAAGTTTGCCTGATTTGCTGCCCTATATCTGTAGATTTTTGGAAAAGCTAATTACCATTACCAATTCAAGCTGTGATGTTCTGACAGGAGGCAGACTCCAAGGTTTGGGTAAGCTTTTTTTTTTTTTTTTTCTTTTTTTTTTTTCTTTTTTTTTTTTCTTTTTTTTTTTTCTTTTTTTTTTTTCTTTTTTTTTTTTCTTTTTTTTTTTTCTTTTTTTTTTTTTTTGCTTCTTTTTTTTTTCTTCTCTTTTTTCTTCTCTGTTTCCTTCTCTCGTTTCCTTCTCTCGTTTCCTTCTCTCGTTTCCTTCTCTCGTTTCCTTCTCTCGTTTCCTTCTCTCGTTTCCTTCTCTCGTTTCCTTCTCTCGTTTCCTTCTCTCGTTTCCTTCTCTCGTTTCCTTCTCTCGTTTCCTTCTCTTTTTTTTTTTTAATCTGTAAACCTTTTTTGTTTTCTTAACTGAAGAGTAAACTGGTTCCAGAAATTCCGTACAAGTCTGATGCCAGTTTATGCAAACATTTGATATGTGCTGTACACATTTATGCATGTGCTTTAAGAGGTAAATGTAAGCAGGAACATCATACTGCTAATAATATGGAAAATATGAAAGATCTACTCAAGATGTTTTAGTGAGATTAATTTCAGAACTAAGGCATATTCAAGGTAATGTTTATATCACATGAAAATATGTTAGTGTTGTAAATCTAGCAAGTGTCCAATGAGTAGGGAGACTCGGTGACTTTACTCGTATCTCTTTGTGAACATTACAGTACCTCATCTGTACAAAATCTCCAACACACTGGCCTTGTCTGACTGTCACAATAAAAGAGGTGAAGATGGAATAGCTGCAAATCTCAAATGCAGTTGTAGTGAGTGTTAGCGCTGTGTTTCCTCAGCATGCTACATGTCATTTAAAAGTAAGAATTTTTTTTGTTGTTAGGCTTTGAAAGTAGCTTTTGACATGAGTTGGGAAACATGACTTTGAATTAGTTTTTTGAAGTTTCAATTTTGCCTTTTCAATGAGTAACTGCTGGGTTTATTTTACAAGCAGTTTGGAACAGCACTTGTCTGGCTTCAGTTTGTACAGAGCATAGTATGGTGAGAGCCTGATACGTGAGAAAGCCTCTATCTCAACAGTAGTTAAAATAATAATGTGTTCTGACATTGGTTTTGTTAATAGTCATCTATGTTGTTTTGTTCCCTCAGCTTTCTCTGTTAGAAGACGCAGGGTTTGGTGGTGTTCTTCTTTATGTCGATCCTTGTGACTTACCAAAGACTACGGATCTTGCTGATAAAGCTTTTATGGTTTCCTTGAACAGCGGAGGAGATCCATCAACACCTGGTTATGCCAGTATTGGTAAGTACTGTTCAAGGCATATTCAGTTAATAGATTTCTTAATTTTCTGTGCATTTTAAGTGTGGGAGTCGAAACAGTAAATCAAATCCTACCTGAAATAGAAACTCAGAGCAATGTAATGCGGCATGGCTCAAAGAATGGAATCCAATCTCAAAAGTGCTTTACTCTAGACTCTTGACACAAAGTCTGTACTGTAAATAATTTACTTTGTTGCTTTTTGTATTTCTGTGTTCACACACTTGAACCGTTACTCCTACCTGCTTAGTCTTATCCCATGAAAAAAGAGCTGTGAAATACTAATCCAGTGGTTCTGAGCAGGTCGCACGGGATCTGTCCCCACTGAAAGTAGTATTCTTCCCTTAATTCTGTCTTCCACTTTCATGATATTGGTAATGGAACCTTCTGGTCAATAGGTGCAAGTGCAGTGTAATCAGAAATTTATCTTTTTAGAGATTGATAAAAAATAATGTTTGTCGTATCTATGCACAATTACCTGTTGAATAGGACATGTGCGTTTAGCCTCGATTCAGTTCTGCTTGGATAGCTTTGATTATCAGTTATGCTTTTCTAAATACATGTATTTTTGACGTCTGGGAAGTAAAGAATTGCTTTTAAGGAACTACATAGTCTTTTGTAAGTTTAAGTATTTTTTTAAAGCGATGTTATTGTTAAGTAGAAGCAGCAATATATTTGACTTGTATGTGCTACTTAAATCTCCATTATGGCAGTTCAGTAAATGTGTGTTCTACTTCTCTGCCGCCTTTTCAGCTTTACAACCTTTTTTACTATCTAACTATTTGGAAATGTATTAAGTAGCAGTCTATGAGTTTGTGACAAGGCTTCATCAAGAATATTTGGTCCAGTTACTAGCTCAGACATCTAAAGTCTGACTTGAATTGGCACTAAATCAACTGAGGCAATGCTGAGAGACGCTTCATGACTAGAATGGCAGAAAATAGAAATATTTGCCTGGTTGTCATAGAAGAGTGTTAGCTATTCACAGCATGAATGCCTTGACAGCTCAGTGGGAAAGAAATTGCACATTTTCTCGGTGTCTCGGTGTACCTGACCCAATGTTCTTAAAAGCGCCCTGGGAGCTGCAGAGGTAAATATAACACTCTTCCAGCTTTATTCTTGCTCATTTCATGGAGCTATTCAAAAAACAGTTTGTCGCTTATCTGTCTGGCTGACTCCTTAATGTTTTATTTACTCTTCACGAAAAGTAAAGCTAATTAAAGCAGATACACCAACATGAAGATGCCACTTCAGTATCTAAACCTTATGCTTTGGTTCTCTGTCAGTAAATGATCTCATCGGCAGTGTAACATTCCAATCTCCAGTTTGAGAAAAAGAAGCTTAATTATATGGAAAATAGTGATATCCTTAGAATTACACTGATGGTTTCTACTAGAACAATTAATATTGCTCATTTGTGGTTTTAGTCTCTGAGCAACATTCGTAAGCAGGAAGAGGCTATCATGTTCCTAAAATCATTTGTATTTTGGCCATTGAATGCAATGATGAGCTGGAAAGAGCTCAAAGGAGCACTTGAGGAAACTCTCTTTTATGGTTCTGTCACTAGAAGGCAGATCTGATGGAAGTAATTTCTTTGTTTCTGATGATTTTTTTCTTCTCGAGAGACTCTGAATCAATTTGTTTGGAGGTAACTTATGCCTGGGACAAATACAAATACATCTGGAGCACAGACTTCTGCCTGAGGGATGTGCCTGCGTCTAAGGCTGTTCAGCTGCCTACATGTAGAATAAAAGTGCCAGATAGCCAGGGTGGCCCCTATCACTTTGATTCACGGAGTATAACATGCACTGCAAGAGATTTTATTGGAAACTCCTACTTAAGTTATTGCTGTATCTTTGATGCCAGCTGCACTTCACATGTTGCCACAAGAACTGTTACTATTACCATCTCAGGGACTGCTACTACCACCCTTCTCCCCTGTACTAGGAAATCCCTAATAAGATGAGTTGTCCAAATTTAGTCTTGTACTAGGTGAAAAAAAAGGTTGGAAACTTGTATTTTCGTGCTGCTGCCCATGTTTCTCACATTCTTTTAGTCTGAAAACAGATTTCTCTGTGGCATCAGAGTATTGGACTGCTTTAGGTTTTTTCCTAGGGAAAAAAATCTCCAGGAAATGATACCTTTTACAGATCTTTTCTCTAAGTTGACAATGTTTTCAAATGGGGTTTATGTAATAGTTCAGAGAGAACTTTGGAGTTCTCGTGAGGTTTTAGCTCAAATTCTGTTTCCTGAAGACTAAATGCTGCACTTCTGCATACCAATTATTTTAGAATGTAGAAAAATAACTTGAGGATGGCATTGAGATGCCTGTTACCTATGAGTGGAATCATTTTTTTGACCTCTGTTTAATAAACAGAAAAAATGTAATGATATGGAAAGGGAAGTAAACAGCACTTACGTAAAAGTTTCTGCAGCTCTGTTTAATTTAATTCTTCTATTCTGAATCCTATGTTGTATCTGTCCTGAAACAATCATATGAGCCTTTGTAAGCATCAGTTCTCTCACCTGATTCTGATTGCCAAAGACTCGTACCCTCCATTTTTAGAAATCTTTCTTTTATCTTCCTGTGTTTGAAATGAAACAGATCCGGTAGGTGAGACTCAAAGAATGAAGCATATGGGATTAAGAAGCTTGAGAGGGAGAGAGGAGACTTATGTGGCAAAAATCATCTTGAAAACAAAGTATGGAAGAATAGCATAAAACTTGAGTGACTTCCACAATCTGTTGTTGGTTTTTTTTTTGACTTTTTGAATTCTACGCTTCCTCTCACCTATCTTTGTGTGGGAGAGACACATTAGATTTCTCCATTGCTGTGTTTCAGAGTCGTTTTAAATCAAATTTGTTTCCACACAGGAAATGGCTCGGTAAACAAAAATATGGATAGAATCTATTTGTCAATCCTAGTATGTAAAGAGAGAAGTGGCATTTTGATAAGCATTAAGAACCGTGCCCCTGAGATAAGGTACCCCATAATAGAATCTCTGTGCAGTCGTGGAATAGAAATTATTTTATGAAGAATTCAGGCTCCATCATGGAAAATACCGTGAGCTTAAAAATACCGAAATATAACAGCTGTAAAATACAATCCTATCCTGTCAGCTGGAGCTTCAAGTGAAGTTGTTTCTGAGAATTGTTACGCAGACGTTCTTACAGTGAGGCAAAGTGGTTTGTTTGAAAGTAGTCCGTGCTTCAAGTCATTGTTAACAGCTAGTCATGTGAGCCACAATACAGGGAATTGGGTGAAAGACCAATAACACAGGGGAAATGTACAGTGTCCCTAGAATTGTGAATAATGAACATTATTCAGACAGAGGAATTGACATGAGCATTCCTCTAACATTGCTAATAGGATTTGATTTCAGAGGAAGAGACAGGGAAGACGAGGAATCAGTGAGGCGTTGATCCACTGCAAGCCACAGCTGAGCCCATCAGCAAAGTTGCTGGTGCCTCTGAAAACATACTTCAGAAAGGACAGGAATGCAGGACAGGCAGGGGAGTGAAACTGAACCTGGAAAAGCAGGGCGAAGGTGCCGTTTTAATATTTTTGGTTTAGTTTCTCACTATCCAAATCTGTTTCAACTGGCAGTAGTTGTCTATGTTTTGCTGTTGACTGTAATTGATAAGTGGTTTCCCGGTCTCTGTCTTGACCAAGGAGCTTCTCCATCTTATTTTCTCCCTCTGTCCTGTTGAGTAGGGGGAGTGAGCGCGTGGCTGGAAGCTGGCCAAAGTTAACCCACCACGCTGTTCTGTGTTTTGATAAATTATAGCGAAAGGTGAAGAACACTAAATATGCATCATAAAAAGCCCGTGTCATTTAGCAGTCTTTAACTGAGCTTAGCCAGTTCTTCTGCAGTGAATCCAGGGAAGTACTACTACTTGGAATATGGGTAACTACATGCTGTGATGGAAATATATGCCTACTTTTTTTTAGTCAGCCCAGTGATTCTGTAAGTTTATGTACTTCCTGCCTCTTATCTGAGTTTGTCCCTACTGTCCTTCACTTCATGGTATTTTACTCCTCTGAAGCAACCAGCTGAGTAGAAGTTAACTAGAAAATACAACATCGTGTAACACTTTTAACCATGCATATGCAACATATGTTCTAAAACATTTTGTTATAAATCATCATGACTTTTTACAAGATGTCCTTGGCCCTTGTTTGTCTGTTCTTTTAAAGAACAAAACACAGTTATAGGGATGTTTTTCTTCTATGCTTGCTTTTGCAGCTGTGCAAATGATCTTGGGAATATTTTTTTTTTTTTCAAAATTGGCATTTACTTTCTGCTGATAACATCAAATAAATGAAATACAAAGATAACTTGGTGTAAAACAAAAGTCTACATTCAGGCTTCTAGATTTTTTCATTTTGTTTTATTTTCCTTAAGGGCAGACTGAAGCTGGGAATAAAGAAAAGTTTATGGTGCCATATTTTAATTTAGGGGGGGTGCATATATGTTTACATATACTCTTGACATAATTTTAGTGGTTGCCATAAAAAAAACCCCACACTTTGTCATTACCAACTACACTGCTCTATCTGATGTACCGTGTTATTTTCTGGATCAAAAAAAAAAAAAGACTATGCGAATGCAATAAAGAGGTAAATCTTTAGAAAATACTAGCTTTTGAATAGTGAGCACAGTAAGTAATAATTTCAGCAGATTTTCAATAATACCGCTACCACTAAGGGTTCAAAAGGTATCTGAATCCATGATCTGCCTCTTCAGATTTCACAGGATACAATAAAGCAACTAAATTTATATTTATATATGAAAATACATGCTCTGAGTTTTTAAGTTTTGTGGTTTTTTAGTTTTTCCTTCTGTCTAGCTTTCAGTTGATCTTGCCTGTATTTAAAACTGAGACAATAAGTTGGACGTCAAGATATTTTAGACTCACAGGTTTAAGTGTGTGACCCTCTGTAATATATATCAGATATCATTTTATCTTCTGTTAAGCTGCCT